TTTATGTATTTGTATGGAGATGGTCATAGTTCTCAAGATCAAGTGACTAGAAATCACATATTATCTTTGGTTGTGAATCCCATTTCCTGAAGTGGAATGGCTTTGCTACATTAATTTTCAGCAAAGGTAGACCAACTTCACAAGCAAGTTTTTGCTACGTCAATAATCATTGGAGATGACAGATACTTCTTCTCTTGAAGGGGAATGGTAATATAATTTAATTTTAGACACTGTTGCCTCCAAAGAAAAATAAATGTTATTATCCACTTTACCACTTTATATTGTTGCAAAGAAATTTGTGTCATGGCAACCTGTCTGAAGAAAATACTGCCGTACCCACATTTTAAAACTTCCAGGGCGAGCGATCCTATTTGAGGCCCTATCATCATTCTTTATTTATTTTTCTTTTTTTCTTTTTTTTCTTTTCTTTTTTCTTTTTTCGAGAAAGACCCATCATCATTTCTAATTTCCAATGAGAAATCCCATATATTTTCTGTGTGGGCTGCAAAAAAGAATAAAATTTTTTTCATGGTACGCGAAAAAAAAAGGATAGAAAAAGAAAAAGAGAAAAGAATAACAAGGATGCAAACTTTTGGTATAATTCCAAACAAGAATACAAATTTTTGATATAATTCCAAACAAGAATACAAACTTTTATTGTTCTTAATCAAGTATATTAAATTGGGACCTAATCAAGGATACCAATCCAAACAATTCTAGCATAGCTACCCTTAGACATTTTTCAGAACCAAGGAATAACATTCTTCCTTACTCAAAGAAAGTGGGATCATTACTTAATTCTCACAATTTTAATTTCTTTGTCTTTATTTTCTCTAATTGATTTTTTCGGTCTTAATTTCTCTCGGTGGCTAGATTTATGTAAAACTTACTTGATAGAGGAAAAATGATACCACCAAGAATACACACTATCTTTGCTGGAGTACATTGATAATGTAATCATTTCAATATCAGCACATTTACTATTGTTGCATGCTTATATTCTTTTTTCAAATCACATAACAACTAGAGTCTTGCAATATCTAGAGGAAGAATTGCCCAATATAATCCTTTGTTCATCAATGGTATTGAGGCTTGTAGATGATTTGTGAACGTCATCGGTATGTACCCTATGTCTCATTTTGCTTCTTGATATAAGCTATTTTCATATGACTTACAATCCCTCTTTTTTTAGGAAAAAATGAGAAGAGGTGATGCTCAAAATTTATTCAATATTACATGCATGAAATTTTAGCTTTAGAAGAAGATGCTCACGAATAGGTACAAGATTTGATTGACAAAACATGGAAGAAGATGAACAAAGATGAATTTGAGCCCTCTCTTCTCTCTCAAACTTTGATTGAAGCTACAATGAATTTTGCAAGAATGGCTTA